TCTCCCTCCCTACCACCATGTCTCCCTCCCTACCATCATGTCTCCCTCCCTACCATCATGTCTCCGTCCCTACCATCATGTCTCCCTCCCCACCACCATGTCACCCTCCCTACCACCATGTCACCCTCCCTACCAACATGTCTCCCTCCCTACCATCATGTCTCCCTCTCTACCATCATGTCTCCCTCCCTACCATCATGTCTCCCTCCCTACCATCATGTCTCCCTCCCTACCATCATGTCTCCCTCCCTACCATCATGTCTCCCTCCCTACCATCATGTCCCCTCCCTACCATCATGTCTCCCTCCCTACCATCATGTCTCCCTCCCTACCATCATGTCTCCCTCCCTACCATCATATCTCCCTCCTACCACATGTCTCCCTCCCTACCATCATGTCTCCCTCCCTACCATCATGTCTCCGTCCCTACCATCCATGTCTACCCTCCCTACCACATGTCACCCTCCCTACCATCATGTCTCCCTCCCTACCATCATGTCTCCCCCCTACCATCATGTCTCCCTCCCTACCATCATGTCTCCCTCCCTACCACCATGTCACCCTCCCTACCATCATGTCTCCCTCCCTACCATTATGTCTCCGTCCCTACCATCATGTCCTCCTCCCTACCATCATGTCTCCCTCCCTACCATCATGTCTCCCTCCCTACCATCATGTCTCCGTCCCTACCATCATGTCTCCCTCCCTACCATCATGTCTCCGTCCCTACCATCATGTCTCCCTCCCTACCATCATGTCTCCGTCCCTACCATCATGTCTCCCTCCCTACCATCATGTGTCCGTCCCTACCATCATGTCTCCCTCCCTACCACCATGTCACCCTCCCTACCATCATGTCTCCCTCCCTACCACCATGTCACCCTCCCTACCATCATGTCTCCCTCCCTACCACCATGTCACCCTCCCTACCATCATGTCTCCGTCCCTACCATCATGTCTCCCTCCCTACCATCATGTCTCCGTCCCTACCATCATGTCCCCCTCCCTACCACCATGTCACCCTCCCTACCATCATGTCTCCCTCCCTACCACCATGTCACCCTCCCTACCATCATGTCTCCCTCCCTACCACCATGTCACCCTCCCTACCATCATGTCTCCCTCCCTATCACCATGTCTCCCTCCCTACCATCATCATGGTGGTGCCCACCACACACCCTCATCACTATACATCAACCAGCCACACTCAATTCAATGCCTGGGTTGAGTCATCATACTTGACAAACAAAGAAACCGTTACGAAGATAACTGCAAGACTGCAACATAACTGCCAGACTGCAAGATAACTGCCAGACTGCAAGATAACTGCCAGACTGCAAGATAACTGCCAGACTGCAAGATAACTGCCAGACTGCAAGATAACTGCCAGACTGCAAGATAACTGCCAGACTGCATAGTAAGCATATCATACCTGCAGGAACACCATACCTGCAGGAACACCATACCTGCAGGAACACCATACCTGCAGGAATATCATACCTGCAAGAATATCATACCTGCAAGAATACCATACCTGCAAGAATATCATACCTGCAAGAATATCATACCTGCAAGAATATCATACCTGCAAGAATATCATACCTGCAAGAATATCATACCTGCAAGAATATCATACCTGCAAGAATATCATACCTTCAAAAACTTCATATTTCCAAAAATATATCTGCAAGAAAATCTTATCTCCAAGAATATCATACTTGTAGCAATATCATACTTGTAGCAATATCATACTTGTATCAATATCATACTTGTAGCAATATCATACATGTAGGGGGGGCTCTGGTGGCCTGGTGGTTAACGCTCTCGCTTCACACGGTGAGGGCCTGGGTTCGATTCCCAGCCAGAGTAGAAACATTGGACGTGTTTCTTTCCACCTGTTGTCTATGTTCTCCATCAGTAAAATGGGTACCTGGGTGTTAGTCGACTGGTGTGGGTCGCATCCTGGGACACTGACCTAAGGAGGCCTGGTCACAGACCGGGCCGCGGGGGCGTTGACCCCCGGAACTCTCTCCAGGTAAACTCCAGGTAGCAATATCATACTTGTAGCAATATCATACTTGTAGCAATATCATACTTGTAGCAATATCATACTTGTATCAATATCATACTGTACAATATCATACTTGTAGCAATCATACTGATCATATCTACTTGTAGCAATATCATACTTGTAGCAATATCATACTTGTAGCAATATCATACTTGTATCAATATCATACTTGTAGCAATATCATACTTGTATCAATATCATACTTGTACAATACATACTTGTAGCAAATATACTTACATTATACTTGTAGCAATATCATACTTGTAGCAATATCATACTTGTATCAATATCATACTTGTAGCAATATCATACTTGTAGCAATATCATACTTGTAGCAATATCATACTTGTAGCAATATCATACTTGTATCAATATCATACTTGTAGCAATATCATACTTGTAGCAATATCATACTTGTATCAATATCATACTTGTAGCAATATCATACATGTAGCAATATCATACTTGTATCAATATCATACTTGTAGCAATATCATACTTGTATCAATATCATACTTGTATCAATATCATACTTGTAGCAATATCATACTTGTATCAATATCATACTTGTAGCAATATCATACTTGTATCAATATCATACATTACTATATAGTATCAATATCATACTGTAGCAATATCAATACTTGTACAATACTCTTATCAATACTACTGTAGCAATATCATACTTGTATCAATATCATACATTGTAGCAATATCATACTTGTATCAATATCATACTTGTAGCAATATCATACTTGTAGCAATATCATACTTGTATCAATATCATACATGTAGCAATATCATACTTGTATCAATATCATACTGTAGTATCAATATCATACTTGTATCAATATCATATTTATCAATCTATGTAGCAATATCATACTTGTAGCAATATCATACTTGTAGCAATATACAATATCACTGTATCAATATCATACTTGTACAATATCATACTTGTAGCAATATCATACTTGTAGCAATATCCATACTTGTATCAATATCATACTTGTAGCAATATCATACTTGTAGCAAATATCATACTTGTAGCAATATCATACTTGTACAATATCATATACATATCATACTGTAGCAATATCATACTTGTAGCAATATCATACTTGTAGCAATATCATACTTGTAGCAATATCATACTTGTATCAATATCATACTTGTAGCAATATCATACTTGTAGCAATATCATACTTGTACAATATCATACTTGTAGCAATATCATACTTGTAGCAATATCATACTTGTATCAATATCATACTTGTAGCAATATCATACTTGTAGCAATATCATACTTGTATCAATATCATCTTACATAGTATACTGTAAATATCATACTTGTAGCAATATCATACTTGTACAATATCATACTTGTACAATATCATACCTGTAGCAATATCATACTTGTATCAATATCATACTTGTAGCAATATCATACATGTAGCAATATCATACTTGTATCAATATCATACTTGTAGCAATATCATACTGTAGCAATATCATACTGTAGCAATATCATACTTGTAGCATATCATACTGTACATATCATACTGTAGCAATATCATACCATACAGTAGCAATATCATACTGTAGCAGTATCATACTGTAGCAATATCATACTGTAGCAATATCATACTATTGTACAGTAGTCATACATGTAGCAATACAACTTGTAGCATCACATAATCACTACTCTGTAGCAATCATCACTACTGTAAGTCATCACCATACATGAGCATATCATACAGTAGAGTCATCACCATACATGATCACTCACCCAGTAAGCTTCACTCACAGTACATAATCACTAACAGTAAGTCACTCACCATACATAGAGCCAATCACCAGTACTATGTAGAGTCATCACCAGTACATGTAGGAACTCATCATACGTATGTAGAGTACACTCACCACGCAGTAAAGTCACTCACCACAGTAGCATCACCAGTAGAGATCACTCACCTAGGACAGTAGAGTCACTCACCCAGTACAGTAGAGCCACTCACCCAGTACAGTAGAGTCACTCACCAAGAACATTAGAGTCACTCACCCAGGACAGCAGAGTTACTCACGCAGTACAGCAGAGTCACTCACTCAGTAGAGTCACTCACCCAGGACAGTACAGTCACTCATCCAGTATAGTAGAGTCCCTCACCCAGGACAGTAGTCACTCACCCAGGACAGCAGTGTCACTCACCCAGGACAGCAGAGTCACTCACCCAGGACATTAGAGTCACTCACTCAGTACAGTAGAGTCACTCACCCAGTACAGTAGAGTCACTCACCCAGAACAGCAGAGTCACTCACCAAGTACAGTAGAGTCACTCACCCAGTACAGTAGAGCCACTCACCCAGGACAGTAGAGCCACTCACCCAGTACAGTAGAGTCACTCACCAAGTACAGTAGAGTCACTCACCCAGTACAGTAGAGCCACTCACCCAGGACAGTAGAGCCACTCACCAAGTACAGTAGAGTCACTCACTCAGTACAGTAGAGTCACTCACCCAGAACAGCAGAGTCACTCACCCAGTACAGTAGAGTCACTCACCAAGTACAGTAGAGTCACTCACCCAGTACAGTAGAGCCACTCACCCAGGACAGTAGAGTCACTCACCGCAGTAGAGTCACTCACCCAGTAGTAGAGTCCACTCACCAGGACAGTAGAGATCACTCTCCTCACAGGACAGTAGAGCCACTCACCCAGCAGAGTCACTCACCCAGTAGAGTCACTCACCAGGACAGTAGAGTCACTCACCCAGTACAGTAGAGCCACTCACCCAGGACAGTACAGCCACTCACCCAGTAGAGTCACTCACCCAGTAGAGTCACTCACCCAGGACAGTAGAGTCACTCTCCCAGGACAGTAGAGCCACTCACCCAGTAGAGTCACTCACCCAGGACAGTAGAGTCACTCACCTTAGCCTGGGTAGACTCGTCAACACCACTGTCATGCCCTTCCTCTGAAAATTAAGAACAATTTACCATCACGCTCCACACAAAGGTATTAACACAATAAATCTACGTTATTCTCACTTCAAATTTAACTATATAAAATAAAGTCTACGGTAGTTTCCCTTCACATTCAACTAACTGAAGATCTGTTAAAACTTTACATTTAACCATAGCAAAAAACTCTACGGTAACCTCCCTTCACATTTGACTACGTATACTGTACTACATGACTTCACATGATAGAAAGACTTTAAAAAAATTAAGTTTTGAAATATATAAGTGTTGCAAGCAGTGGCGATGCATGCAATGGCAGCTATGATCATACTATAATTATATGTCTTACTTTATGATCTATATTATCAAGGGGTAAACATAGCATAATATAGCAAAAGGGTAGGCTGCCAGGGTCAACAGAAGATGTTTACTAAAGGGAGTCAGGAAATAGGAGATGGTAGACGAGTGGGAGAGGATGTGAGGTTAGTGGTCGGGCGGGTAGTTAATTCTTGAAGGAAGGTGTTCCCCCTCCCCTCCTTCACTGACTGAGGAAGGTGGTGAGGGTGGGACAGGGGACTCATCACCCTCACTACACTAATGTGGGTAGTGTAGCACCCTCACTACACTAATGTGGGTAGTGTAGCACCCTCACTACACTAATGTGGGTAGTGTAGCACCACCACTGCACTCACGTAGTGTGTGTAGCACCACCACTACACTCACATAGTGTGTGTAGCACCACCACTACACTCACTGTGTAGTACCACCACTACACTCACGTATTGTGTGTAGCACCACCACTACACTCACGCAGTGTGTGTGTAGCACCACACTACACTCACGTAGTGTGTGTAGCACCACCACTACACTCACGTAGTGTGTGTAGCACCACCACTACACTCACGTAGTGTGTGTAGCACCACCACTACACTCACGCAGTGTGTGTAGCACCACCACTACACTCACGTAGTGTGTGTAGCACCACCACTACACTCACGTAGTGTGTGTAGCACCATCACTACACTCACGTACTGTGTGTAGCACCAGCACTACACTCACGTAGTGTGAAGTACCACCACTACACTCACGTTATGTGTGTGTAGCACCACCACTACACTCACATAGTGTGTAGTACCACCACTTCACTCACGTAGTGTGTAGCACCACCACTACACTCACTTAGTGTGTGTACCACCACCACTACACTCACGTAGTGTGTAGTGCCACCACTACACTCATGTATTGTGTGTAGCACCACCACTACTCTCACGTAGTATGTAGTACCACCACTACACTCACGTAGTGTGTAGTACCACCACTACACTCACGTAGTGTGTGTAGCACCACCACTACACTCACGTAGTGTGTGTAGCACCACCACTACACTCACGTAGGGTGTAGCACGAGCACTACACTCACGTAATGTGTGTGTAGCACCACCACTACACTCACGTAGTGTGTAGTACCACCACTTCACTCACGTAGTGTGTAGCACCACCACTACACTCAGTGTGTGTACCACCACCACTACACTCACGTAGTGTGTAGTACCACCACTACACTCACGTAGTGTGTGTAGCACCACCACTACACTCACGTAGTGTGTAGTACCACCACTACACTCACGTAATGTGTGCAGCACCACCACTACACTCACGTAGTGTGTAGTACCACAACTACACTCACGCAGTGTGTAGTACCACCACTACACTCACGTAGTGTGTGTAGCACAACCACTACACTCACGTAGTGTGTAGTACCACCACTACACTCACGTAGTGTGTGCAGCACTACCACTACACTCACGTAGACTGTAGCACCACCACTACACTCACGTAGTCTGTAGCACCACCACTACACTCACGTAATGTGTGCAGCACCACCACTACACTCACGTAGTGTGTAGTACCACCACTACACTCACGTAGACTGTAACACAACCACTACACTCACGTAGTGTGTAGTACCACCACTACACTCACGTAATGTGTGCAGCACCACCACTACACTCACGTAGTGTGTAGTACCACCACTACACTCACGTAGTCTGTAGCACCACCACTACACTCACGTAGTGTGTGTAGCACCACTACTACACTCACGTAGTGTGTAGCACCACCACTACACTCACGTAGTGTGTAGTACCAACACTACACTCACGTAGTGTGTGTAGCACAACCACTACACTCACGTAGTGTGTAGTACCACCACTACACTCACGTAGTGTGTGCAGCACTACCACTACACTCACGTAGACTGTAGCACCACCATTACATCACGTAGTGTGTAGTACCACCACTACACTCACGTAGTGTAGCACCACCACTACTCTCACGTAGTGTGTAGCACCACCACTACACTCACGTAGTGTGTAGTACCACAACTACTCCCATGTAGTGTGTGCAGCACCACCACTACACTCACGAAGTGTGTAGCACCACCACTACAATCACGTAGTGTGCAGTACCACCACTACACTCACGTACTGTGTAGTACCACCACTACGCTCACGCAGTGTGTGTAGCACCACCACTACGCTCACGAAGTGTGTCTAGCACCACCACTACACTCACGCAGTGTGTAGTACCACCACTACACTCACGTAGTGTGTGTGTGTAGTACCACCACTACACTCACGTAGTGTGTGCGTGTAGCACCACCACTACATTCACGTAGTTTGTGCAGCACCATCAGTACACTCAAGTAGTGTGTGTAGCACCACCAATACACTCACTTAGTGTGTAGTACCACTACTACACTCACGTAGTGTGTAGCACCGCCACTACACTCACGTAGTGTGTAGTACCACGACTACACTCACGTAGTGTGTAGTACCACCACTACACTCACGTAGTATTTAGCACCGCCACTACGCTCACGTAGTGTGTGTAGCACCACCACTACACTCACGTAGTGTGTGTAGTACCACCACTCCACTCACGTAGTGTGTGTACCACCACCATTACACTCACGTAGTGTGTAGTACCACCTCTACACTCACGTAGTGTGTGTAGTACCACCACTACACTCACGTAGTGTGTGTACCACCACCATTACACTCACGTAGTGTGTAGTACCACCACTACACTCACTAGTGTGTGTAGCACACCACTAACACTCACGTAGTGTGTGTAGTACCACCACTACACTCACGTAGTGTGTGTAGCACCACCACTACACTCACGTAGAGTGTAGTACCACCGCTACACTCACGTAGTGTGTGTAGCACCACCACTACACTCACGTAGTGTGTGTAGTACCACCACTACACTCACGTAGTGTGTGTAGCACAACCACTACACTCAGGTAGTGTGTAGTACCACCACTACACTCACGTATGTGTGTGCAGCACTACCACTACACTCACGTAGACTGTTAGCACCACCACTACACTCACGTAGTCTGTAGCACCACCACTACACTCACGTAATGTGTGCAGCACCACCACTACACTCACGTAGTGTGTAGTACCACCACTACACTCACGAGTTAGTGTAGCACAACCACTACACTCACGTAGTGTGTAGTACCACCACTACACTCACGTAATGTGTGCAGCACACCACTACACTCACGTAGTGTGTAGTACCACCACTACACTCACGTAGTCTGTAGCAACCACCACTACACTCACGTAGTGTGTGTAGAAACCCACTACTACACTCACGTAGTGTGTAGCACCCCCACTACACTCACGTAGTGTGTAGTACCAACACTACACTCACGTAGTGTGTGTAGCACAACCACTACACTCACGTAGTGTGTAGTACCACCACTACACTCACGTAGTGTGTGCAGCACTACCACTACACTCACGTAGACTGTAGCACCACCATTACATCACGTAGTGTGTAGTACCACCACTACACTCACGTAGTGTAGCACCACCACTACTCTCACGTAGTGTGTAGCACCACCACTACACTCACGTAGTGTGTAGTACCACCACTACTCCCATGTAGTGTGTGCAGCACCACCACTACACTCACGAGTGTGTAGCACCACCACTACATCACGTAGTGTGCAGTACCACCACTACACTCACGTACTGTGTAGTACCACCACTACGCTCACGCAGTGTGTGTAGCACCACCACTACGCTCACGAAGCGTGTCTAGCACCACCACTACACTCACGCAGTGTGTAGTACCACCACTACACTCACGTAGTGTGTGTGTGTAGTACCACCACTACACTCACGTAGTGTGTGCGTGTAGCACCACCACTACATTCACGTAGTTATGTGCAGCACCATCAGTACACATCAAGTAGTGTGTGTAGCACCACCATTACACTCACTTAGTGTGTAGTACACACTACTACACTCACGTAGTGTGTAGCACCGCCACTACACTCACGTAGTGTGTAGTACCACGACTACACTCACGTAGTGTGTAGTACCACCACTACACTCACGTAGTATTAGCACCACCACTACGCTCACGTAGTGTGTGTTAGCACCACCACTACACTCACGTAGTGTGTGTAGTACCACCACTCCACTCACGTAGTGTGTGTACCACCACCATTACACTCACGTAGTGTGTAGTACCACCTCTACACTCACGTAGTGTGTGTAGTACCACCAGTACACTCACGTAGTGTGTGTACCACCCCCAAATACACTCACGTAGTGTGTAGTACCACCACTACACTCACGTAGTGTGTGTAGCACCACACTACACTCACGTAGTGTGTGTAGTACCACCCCTACACTCACGTAGTGTGTGTAGCACCACCACTACACTCACGTAGAGTGTAGTACCACCGCTACACTCACGTAGTGTGTGTAGCACCACCACTACACTCACGTAGTGTGTGTAGTACCACCACTACACTCACGTAGTGTGTAGTACCACCACTACACTCACGTAGTGTAGCACCACCACTACACCCATGTAGTGTGTGTAGCACCACCACTACACTCAAGTAGTGTGTGTAGCACCTCCACTACACTCACGTAGTGTGAAGTCCCACTAGTACACTCACGTTGTGTGTAGTACCACCGCTACAT